GACACATCTTGTTTTGGGGGTGCTTGACCTGTTTTGGGGTGTCCCCCCAGTGCCTGTCCTCGGTGGCCACGGCCCTGCAGAGCGGGTTCCTGCCCTACTGCGAGCCCGTCTACCAGCGCTGCGTCACCCTGGTCCAGAAAACCCTGGCCCAGGCCATGGTGAGCCCCCCTCCCTCCCTCTCGTGGCGTTTTGGGGACCCCCGGGGTGCCAACCCCCCCTGTCCCCCCCCCCCCAGATGTACAACCAGCACCCCGAGCAATACGAAGCCCCCGACAAGGATTTTATGATCGTGGCCCTGGACCTGCTGAGCGGCCTCGCCGAGGGGCTCGGTGGCCACGTGGAGCAGCTGGTGGCCCGTTCCAACATCATGACGCTGCTTTTCCAGTGCATGCAGGTGAGGGGGGGACCCCCCACGACCCCCCCAAATCCCTCGGTGGGGCAGCAGGACCCCCCCTGAACCGCCCTCGTCCCCACAGGACACGATGCCCGAGGTGCGGCAAAGCTCCTTCGCCCTCCTGGGCGACCTCACCAAGGCCTGTTTCGTGCACGTCAAGCCCTGTATCGGTGGGTTTTGGGGGTCCTCGAGGGGGGGACACCCTTCCAAGGTTGGGGGAGGGGTTTCTGGGCTCACCTGTGTCCCCCTTCCCCAGCTGAATTCATGCCCATCCTGGGCACCAACCTGAACCCCGAGTTCATCTCCGTCTGCAACAACGCGACCTGGGCCATCGGGGAGATCTGCATGCAGATGGGTGAGACCCGCCAAAAACCGGGCTGAGACCCCCCCAAAAACTCACCTGAACCTCCCCCAGCCCCCTCCAAATCTCACCTGAGCCCCCCCCCCCTTGTTTTTACCCCCCAGGAGCAGAAATGCAACCCTACGTGCAGATGGTCCTCACCAACCTCGTGGAGATCATCAACCGCCCCAACACCCCCAAAACCCTCCTGGAGAACACAGGTGAGGGCTGAGGGGGCGCAGAGGGACCCCCCCCTCAACCTGTTGGGTACTGGGGATTCTCCCCCAAAATCCTCCCCCCCCCAAACCCTCAATCTCTCCCCAGCCATCACCATCGGGCGCCTCGGCTTCGTGTGCCCTCAGGAGGTGGCCCCGATGCTGCAGCAGTTTATCCGGCCCTGGTGAGTCTGGGGGAGGGGGGGGCTTTTAGGGATCCCTGACAGCCCCCAAAATTTCGGGGTGAGGGGCTCTGAACCTCAGTTTCCCCCCCCCTCAAGGTGCACGTCGCTCCGGAACATCCGCGACAACGAGGAGAAGGACTCGGCCTTCCGGGGGATCTGTGTCATGATCGGGGTGAACCCCGGGGGGGTTGTGCAGGTAGGGGGGTCCCCGGGGCCTCGGGTGGTCCCCAAGGGTGTTTTGAGGGGTGGGCACCTCATTTTGGGGTGGGGCTGGGGGCTGCCCCTGAGCTGGGGGCGAGCAGGAACTCAAACCTTCTGACGGGGTGATTTTGGCGGGTCCAGCCAAAACTGGGGGGTCAAGGGGGGGCCCTCTGCATCCCCCCTACTTCACCCTCCCGTTGATGTGCGTGTCCCCCTTTAATTTCTCCCCATTTTCCTGCCCCCCTCCACCTCAAACTCCCAGGATTTCATCTTCTTCTGCGACGCCGTCGCGTCCTGGGTGAGCCCCAAGGACGACCTGAGGGACATGTTTTACAAGGTACTCACAGCTCGGGGGGGGACTCTGGGGACCCCCCCATTTTGAGGGGGGGTTCGGCAGGACTCTCATCTTTATTTTTGGCCCCCCCCCC